TTGTGTAGTAATTTACATGTCTGTACAAGTCATAAATCGCAGACCCGAGTTTCGTTCAGGAAACATGTAAGATGTTATACTGCGTGACCATAGGGCAATTGTTGGAATCATTGTGTTCAATGAAGACGCTGATTGCCACAATATATTGCCTAATATGATTCTAGTTTTCAACTATTTTAAAGCTTTATTGTCATGAATTAGCATATTATGGGAATGGGGAAGAAATTATCCAAACAACTGCTCATTAGTGTTATTTTAGTACGCGACCGTTAGAAACAATCTTAAAACAACTTTTGTCATATTCTACAAATGATATATAAAATACGCCACTAGAACCATGGATAAAAACACTGGTTGAAATATAAAATAATGATGTCTTTTATTCGTATAACTCACGACAATTTTGATATCAATGAGCTTGTCTCTGAGATTGTGTAGAACATCGGATTTGTGTCATTATTTTCTCACAAATACACCTTCATATATTCACGATATCATTGTGTAATGCATAGCATTATAATTGTCTTGTTTTAAAAGATACTAGTAGTAGGGAAATATGAATTTGATTTTGTATGAAATAGAATGACATTGCATTATTAAATAACACGGCAAACTAACATATCGCTTAACATAATACAAGAACATGTGACAAATGAAAATGTTTTTAAAAAATACTCTTTTTGTTGTCTACTATCATAATTGGGATAATAAAAAAAACGCGTATACAGTGTAGTCAAATCAGTAAGTAAAAGATACTATGGAACCTATGATATACATAAAAATTTAACTATAAAATAAATGTCAGTGAATACAATATATACAAAAATACAAAAAAATCCTGCAGCCACCATGGACATTAAATCTCATTTATTAGGATTTCTGCATGAAGTTACACAAATATTTTTGTAAATAACACTGACTACGAAATACGCCCACCGAGAAGTGTTACAATTTTAATTGGTTGTGTTGCAATACATGAGTAATGATTAATATATATGTACATATACATTTCCTTAATTCATTGCTGAGGATGTGTTATACATTAGTTTCGTACTATAATTTCTTATCTGTTGCTCTTGCTCTGGGGATTATCAAATTCAATAAACAGTAATCAACTATCCTTCTGCAACAATAATAAGATCCTTGCTTACAGTATGTCACTAAGCAATATAATAAGAAAGCATATAGCAAAGCCCATTCTATGAATGGTCAAATGTTTCTTGGTCTAAATAAGAAACTCGGGGCATTACCAGAGCATGGGTCTTATTTACTAACTCCTGTCAGAACAACTGCATAAATCACAAGGGCAAATTAACAGCTACAGAGGATGGTATTCCCAGATTAAAACCAATTGTTAAAGACACATAAAACATTAATTATCAACTCAGATGAAAGGACTATTTACTGCCACAAAGCCCTACTCCCTGCAACGCTACTCATGCGAAATCCACTTGCCGCGAAAGCCACTCACCGCGTAGCTACTAGTACTATAGTTTATTTATAGTTTTATTTCGTATGTCATGGCAGTTCAATGTGATAAAGCATAAGTGTAGCTTCTTTATTAAAATCATATCCTCTTAAGGAATTAAGATTAAAGTTTGAGCATGCTAATAAAAACAATTATTGTTCAATGAAATGAAACAGCAATACAAAGCAGAATTACAATGCAATTCGGGATCGTACATACACCATAGCTTGCATAGCATTGTTTGCACTGATCCCGCGGACCTTTCCAACCGTCATACTTAGTGCATTTTGAGATAGTGTTACTCACACTGGCCACCTATTCTGCATCGATTACAACAGCCAAACACCGATTATTTACAAACATGCCAACTTTATTTAAACCTCCCCAAACAAAAATCGTCCTGATGAAATTTATTTTGTTTTATTTAGCTCCATGTATTAAAATTATTGACAATAACCGTGACAGATTATAATTGAATGTTGTGGCAGTATTCAGCATGTTACCTACAGACGGAGTGAGAGCCTCTAGCAATAAGATCATTCTCATATCGAACAGGGTCGTGAGAAATTGTGATATAAATAATCGGCAATTTATTTAAGATCATAGTAACGGGTAATCAAATCCAATTGGCAAATGCCACACGTCAAATACATGTCATGTGACACTCCATGTGTCTTTAGTTTACATCTGTAAACATTTTTTTCTGAAATGTACCTCTGATAGTACTGATCAATAAAATACATTGTTGTCCTTTGTTATTGCAGAAATCCTGAACAAAACTGCCAAACCCAAATCTATGCACCACAGTCCCTCTGTACCTGTGCGTGACAGTATGGACGTATTTCTTTGGACTTTCATTATTGCTCAAACCATGTACCACGACTGGTCTATGATTTACAACATGTAATGTGTCCAATCCGTGCCCGTGATGCTCTCAGTAGTAGTCATTGACGGCACTTGTTTTGGGAAAAGTTGCTCCTAGTAAATACTGAAAAGCTTTTAGTTTTATTCTGTTGTCTCTTCCAGAAATGGTATATGTTTTTTAATATTTTTGTATTGTTGTTTTTTTACTATAACAAAATGTTATTTTGAATTTACTGTTATAATATGACACGCAACAAATAGTTCTTACATTGAAACGAGGTTATGAGATGGAGAGGTGGTATGTGAGCCATTTAAATGATGGTGTGGTCGAATTGTTGTTCGTTCTTTATTCACAGATGTCTGTTGAATTGTTTTTATATAATGAAATGAAATAAAATAAATTTAGTAGGCAATAGCGTGTTTACTATAGAAGTTTGTAAAACGTTTCTAAAATTATTAGCCCAATAATGAAACATATTTTTCTATATATATGTACAGCTGCACCTTCCAAGATACAACACTAAATGCGTGATCGCATGTCTGCAGTACATTCACCCACACAGTACTAGTGTACGATTTGTGCAAAAATGGTTGAAAATGTAGCTGTTCTGGGATTTACTCACCAATTTACTCACAATCTCATGAATAAATAGGGTCAACTACATATAAATTATGTATTTTTTTGGAAATTTCTTATTTTTCCTGAATTAGTATTTGAGGTCTCGTCGTGGTAAAATTGTAATTACACAAATAAACCTGTATGAACTTGATACGGCATTTGCTGCCCTCGGTCATACGGCTTACGCGTCCTCTCAAGCTCGGGCGCTTCTGCTGCACGAACTCTGGTCGAAAAAGCCGTATCCATTGACGCACTTTTAATAGGATAGGATGGGATATTTTTTTGGGAACGTTACACAAAAATAATGTTTGAGTAAAGTCCAATATAAGAAACATAGAATAACACAACTAATCTAGTATAATTTCAAGTTTAGAATCTGAAATACAAAATTAGCTAAAACGTTATAAACAGATTTGTCTACACTTGAGAAAATCGTGATAAACAATTCAGTTGTCAAGATTTGGTAATCAGGTGAGTACATACATTATTTAATAGTGTACAGACGAATTGTTCCTGTGTTCTAAAAATCTGTTATGTTTACAATGAAAAATGTAATGTTTTTCATCATCCACGTCATTAAAGTCACACTTGTTACATACCCTGTCAATTTTATGTACTAGTATTCCCCTGTGACGCCGCGGCCTGTTTCAATCGGCAAGAAGTGGGCTGAAATACGGAATTTGGTTAATGCTACTCTGTTTTTTTTTTTGGTTTTTTTATACCATCCAAATTTATAATTATTTTTGAATGTTTTATATGTACTTAGTTTATTTTAACCAATTTGTTCAACAGACTTTCCACGTTTGTTAATTAAATGATTTGGTTCAACCTTTCTTTAACAGATTGCAAAAAATTGCCTGATTAGTATCTGTGTTTGTCATTTTTGTAATTTGTAGAATTTTTTTTGACAAACTTATACCAAGGATCGTATTAAAACCCACCACTTTCTTTAAATGCAGCTTCGATAATTATGTTGTTTGTTTTCTTACAGGACAACCTTTGATAACATTTTATGACAGTAGTACAAACATCAATTACAAGTGGGAAACGACCAAGTTCACCTCTACAAGCAATATTTGATGCCTTCCCGTGTACTCCCAAAACTCCCTTACAAAACTTTATATGAAGTTTTTCTGGTAATATTTTGTCGGAGAATAGCTTTGATACGAAAACAGCATTATCATTCTTTGATTTGCTATTGCCAGTTCCGCTAAATAGATTAGTCAGACAACTACCCCAAACCTCTGACCCATGAGGAATAACTGGAGAATCAAACAGTTTACAGGCTAGACTCACGGGATGGCAGTCATTTGAATTCCAGAGCATTTTAATACATTATAAATGATGCTTTGTGAGCCTTTCATATCACCTTTGAGTAAGATGTGTCTATTGACATGCGCCCTCTATGATCATAAACTTTATGTAAGCTGCCATTTTGTTTTGTTACTTTACCTGATTATTTAAACTACGTAATAATAAGAATACTAGTAATCAGCCATTCTTCTAAATGCAACCTACTTGGTTGTCACTGAGTGAGTGCGAGAAAGCAAGTGAGCAGTATCGTGAAATAAGGGCAGAGGTTGAATGAAAATATGCTATTACATAATACCAGTAATGTAGCTCTGATAATACATAATAAAATCGCGAGTATCGTGGTCTATGTGCCGGTAGTAGCTGTATCTTCATTGAATTATATTTAATAATTCAGTACAATTTATTTGCATTTCATTTTTGACACTTCTGAACCTGTGAGCTTTTGGTTTCCGAGTTCTGAGTTTCTAACTTCTGAGCTTCTTCAAAGTCAACTCTACTGAGGCCGGGGTCAACTGAGGTCAATTTTGGATTTGTAGACTCGCATTTGAACACAATATTTTACAAAATTTGTTCCAAAAACGAGTACAATTTGAGTTTTTGAATAAATGTTGTTAATAAAATTGTTACATCTCTATTTTATAATAATTTCTTCTTTGTAAAACGTCTCATTATACTTATTACTTGTAACTGAATTCGTTGCTCAAAACATCATAACAAAACAGCTAAGAAGACGTCAACACGGACTGCACAGAAATGCATGTTTTCGGTTACGGTTCACTGATTTGGAAGATAGATTTTCCTTATACCCGCAGAATAGTAGGACATATACGCGGTTACAAGCGGAGATTCTGGCAAGGTAGCACAGATCATCGAGGAGTTCCAGGCAAGGTCAGTGCTATGACATTTCTGTTTCTATATACATGTAACACCAAAGTGATCTTCGTAGCATTTTTGGGTCAGGATTTGTTTTGATATTTTTGTATAATACTCCCATTTGTAGTTTGCCACAAATATTCTGAAAAAACGAAAATTCTTTGCATAAACAAGTTTAGGCATCAAAAACATTATTATCATGTATGTACGACCGGGAGCCCAGGAACTATAATCAACTGTACGCA